CCTGGCGAAAGGACTAATGTGGTCGGCTAACTCGGGGTGGAAGTGTGCAGCCGAACCTCCGCCGGAAGTATCCTGGGGGAGCCCGGGAAGGGGTGTGTGGGTGGAGGCCCTGTCCTTGTTCCCACAGCCAAGGGCTGCCTAGGTCCTAGAAGTTCCCAGAAAGAACTTGATCGGCTGATGTCCTAGGTCACCTGTCCCGGGTCCTTTCGGGGGCTTCCTGCATGCCCACTGCCACTCTGATTCCACGGACTATCCAGGAGATGCAGGGCAGTTGTTTACCGTGCGCGTGCTGACCGAGAAATAACGTGTCATTGATCTGCATTTGCAGGCTGGCTCCCAGGAAGGCCTACCCACCATTTCAGATGCCAAGACAGGGTCCGTGGAGCCCGGGGTCCCAGGGTGCCCCCGGATCGGGCCTCCCTCCCTCCGGGGCGCTGCGGGGGCGGGTGTGTATGTGTGTGTTGGGGGGGGGGGGGAAGTGGCACAACAGGAAAGCCTCGCCAGAAGGCCCTTCCCAGGCGGCTTCCTCGCCATAAAAAGCCAGACTCCAGCGGAGGTCCTGACCCCTTCCAAATATACATTCCCTTGCCCGGGGCCGCCACTCCAGCCCAAGCCTCGGGCTGGGCGGTTTCCTCACAAGCTGGCCCGCGCCCAGCGCCTCGTCTCAGAGTGGCAGGAGTCGGTGGAGCCCCGATTTCAGTTGTCTCCCCAGTTCACCAACCCGCGCGTTCTCACGCTTTTGGTCTTAGGCTTGTAGAGCGCCCGGCTCCGCGTGCGCACTGGCGCCTTAGCGAGGCGAAGGCTGAGGCGTGGAAGGTTTCCTTCATAAGGGCAGTTCTCCATCACCTCCTCAGCCTCCGCCGGGGCTCGACGGTTGGGGAGCTTGAGAGTGCGGGCCCGGGTACGTGCGAGCTGGGCTAGCGGCCGGGGTCTGGGCGGAGGGAGCGCGGCCGGCGCATGCGCACGCGCCCGGAGCCGATCGGTCCTGGGGTCCGCCGCACAGACAGCTCAGCCCACTGTGCTCCGGCCAAGGCTTGGAGGTCCCGAGGTAGAGCCTCGCCCGAAGTTGCTGGGCTAGTGAGCGGAGTCCACAGGCCATCCTAGGAGTCAGCATTGGCCTTCGGGGCCCTTCGGCACCTTAAATGCTGGGTGTGCACACAGGCGGGCACCTCGGCCCCGAACCAAAAAGGGCAGCTGAGACGGGGCGTCCGCTTTGTGTGATCCCTGACCCTGGAGGAAGGGCGGGAGCTGGGGAGTAGGCGGCGGGGCCGGGGTCAGGTCTCGGTCGTCGGCCTCCCAGCAGAGAAAGACACTCAGGCCGAGGAAACGGGTGAGGGTGGGGTGGGGCCGTGTCGTCGTATTCGTAAGAGAGGCCTTGGAAAGGTCTCTGGGGACATAGTGCACTCGAGGCGGGCCAGGCGGGGGCAAGGGTGAGCCTACGGCGGCCGGCGGGAAGCACCGCAGACCGGGCCTAAGGGGAGGCAGTGGCGGCCACACGGACCCGAGAAAGCGAAATGGCTAGGGACCCAGTAACGAATAATAATCCTAATGGCACAGCCACTGAAACTGTGCTCGATGCTCCGGAGGTGTGCGCAGGACTGGGAATGAGGATGGGAGGTTGTTGGGAGATCTGGCCTGGGGCCTAGTTGGAGCAGGGCAGTAGCGCCCCCTATGCCTCCCGGAAGAAATCAGACCCAGACACTGAGCTCCAAAAAGAAGCCGTGGATGGTGGGAAATCCCCGACTGCGGAGGGTGGGCTGGTTCCCAGAGCAGCTTTATGTCCCAGTTGTCGTTGCCGTTCGTGAAACTTCCCGGCACCCCCAGTTATTAAAACCAACTATTTTTGGAGAGGTGAAGGTGGCAATGTTGGGACATATTGACCTGTTTGTAAGATGCGTACATTGGCGCGCGCACGATCCTTTTGTAAAACCCGGGTGGGAGCGCTCCGCAACCCCTTCCGGCATACCATACACAGATCGATCGCGCAAGCCTGCGGCACAGGTTGTGAAAAATAGATGCCGTGTGTACTTGGATTTACTGGGACCCAGGTTACAACTGAGAGTTCCCTGTTGGAATTCCCAAATACAAACACAGAGTCTGGGATGCTTTGAAGCTTTTTTCCTGGGGCTTAGAAAGTTATTTGTAAACAATGCGTTTAAGGTTAATTTGAATGAAAATTTAGAGTTGCCTCCAGCTTCCAGCTTTAAGAACACAGGGAAGGTCTCACGGCAGCAGTCGACCATCCGGAAAACAGGGGTTCTTTGGAATCTTGATGTTGGTAAGGCGGCTAAAGACCAAGAGGACTCTGAAGCAGTTTTGCAGTGGTTTACTGCTGCAGAATGGTAGACCTGAAATCGAGTTTCCTGAGGAGCCATCTTGCCGGGGAACTTTATCTACCCTAGCGTTTCAACACTTCCCTGCACTGCAGTCCTTCACCCCCAAACAGCTGTAGGGGTATGTCAGTTTTATTATGCGGGACAAACCTCCTTCCTAATTCCTTAAAGACAAAGGGCAGCAGACACCGCCCACGACAGATCCTGGCAGGGAGGGTGGAACGTGAGGCGCTGGGTGGCCAGGGTATCCATGCACCTTGGTGTTCATCAGGGCCGTAAATGTGGTGTTTGGAGGCTTTGGTGTTGTGTTCGAATGTACTGAAAGTTTGCGTTTCTTAATTCTTACTAAAAGAAAATCAAGGTGGAAGAGATTTTATCATACTTAAAATGAATAGCCAAACTTAGCTGACCAGAAAAAGGGGATGTAAATAAGTTCAGTGAAACTGAGTTGAGATTTAAGATGGAAGACACTCTTTGAGAATTTTTCTGAAGGCACGTCCAAGTGAAATTCACAGCACAGAAAGAACAGAAATACCTAAGCAAATCTATTCTCTTTTTCACCCCTTTTTAAGTTTATTTATTTTTCTTATTTTGAGAAAGTGAGCACACCAAGGTGGGAAGGACAGAGAGAGAGAGAGAGAGAGAGAGAGAGAGAGGGAGAGGGAGAGGGAGAGAATCCCAAGCAGGCTCTGCACTGCCAGTGCAGAGTCCAACGTGGTGCTTGAACCCACAAACAGTGAGATCATGACCTCAGGTGAGATCATGACCTGAGCGGAAGAGCCTGACCCTTAACTGACTGAGCCACACAGAAGCCTCTCTTTTTCACCTTTTAAACAGAAGGAGACCAGGAAGCCAAATGGGCTAACCTCCTCCCCCCAATTGAGAGTTCAGGAATAGAAAGAAGGTTGCAACCAAACATACTCCTGTGTCTTTCAAAAACTGATGTTCAGGGCCATCTTGAGAATAATAATATGACATTGTAACTCCACTACAGTTCCATTAAACTTCTGCCTGAATCCCTCCTGATCCTTACTAAGGAATTTATTATGATTTTGGGCTAACAACCTGAATTACATGGGGTCACTGCAAAGCCAGAAGGACCCTTGAATGGCCTCTGTGCCTGGGTGTGTGGGATGAGGTGAAGGTTCATGGGGTCAGAGGAGGCGAGGGGGTGCCTGTCCATCAGGGTCAAGGCTAACGGGGAATGTGTGTGTGATTTGTGAGGTTTGTGAGAGTATGTGTGTGGCTGTGTGTTTGTGATAGCAGGTTTGTGAGTTGTGTTTTCAAGGATTGTGAAACTCTTGTGTGTTGACAGTGTGTGAGATGGCAGGTTGTAGGTGTGTATTTGTGTGCATGAGAGTGTTTGGATGTGTGACAATGTGTGTGACTATGTATTTGTGAGTGTGTGTATGTGTGCCCACCAGCCATCTCAGTCCTGGAGCCCAGCCTTCCAGGACCATCTGTTTCCAATTAGCAGCATCCCGATTGGGAGAAGGCCTGTCCTGGGGCAGCTTCTGAGAACCGGGTGGGCCAAGCTCAAGCTGCCCCAGTTCTGCTCCATCGAAGCCCAGGCTGCCCCTGGCCAGCATGCTCTTGCAGCAAGTCAGGCAGCCACACAAAGAGCCCTCTTTCCTGCCGCCAGCCGTTAGAGCCTGGGTCCTCCCCCAGATCATAAACCTGCCGGTGAAGACATTCAGAAATAGTTCACCAGCGTTCACACAAGCATGTGCAAAGGCTGGAATTCCATTTGCTATAAAGTTTTATTTTATTTTCTTTGGAGGGGGAGTGATGGGGAAAAGAAGAGTCCTGACCTAATTTATTCTAGGGCAAAATATTGTATTTCATACAGAAGTATACACCTGTACACAAATCTTTGCTTGCTGCTTGTGGGTTCCATATATTTGTGTGTCCACCTGCCTTAACCTGCCTTAATCCACTGTACACGGCTCAGAAGAACATACCTGTGGTGAAAACCAGGCCACCTAATGATGCACTCAATAAAAATGGATCCAGTGATCTGAGGCCCAAGTTTAACCTCTTTATTAAAATTTTTAATTAACATTGATGTAGATCAAGCACACAATGTCTGGCATATATTAGGCACTTAAAACATTGGTTGAATGACTAAATCAAAATTAGATTTAAAAAGTGATCTGGTACTGAGAAGTGGTTGAAAATTATTGTGTGAAAGATTCTAGACCACAAGGAAAGGCATGGGTTCAGAGACCTCTGGGCAACTCAGGGGCTTTGGCATGGAATGTTCCAACAATATTTACTTACCTTCACGTTTCTTCTTCTGGCCCCCCTCTATTTCTCAAGACTTCTTTTGAGATGGTGGGAGCCCCGTAGGTTCTAATTATAGTCAGCGGAGAGACCTGAGGGGGTGTGAATGCCTCCTTTCTTCAGGAACTGGGTTTCCAGATCGGCTGGATAGAGTGGCTTATTGTCACCAGAAGGAAAGAAATGTCCCAGGCAGAGCCTTAGAACACTCCAGGGAGGCCAGGCTCAGGCCCAGCAGGGGTCGACCTGCAGGGGCTCTCTCCAAAGGGAGGGAGGCTTAAAGGAAGCTATTTCACTCCAAGGCAAGAATTTGGGTGTTTTTGTTTGGGGGCCCTTATAGCAGCTCTTATACTTCGCGGGGGAAAACATCGACATCGACTCTGTTAATGCTAGTTCATAGAAAGGCCATTTTTAATAAAAGAGAAAAACAATTTGAAAGCCCCACAATTTCGGTTGTCTAATGACATAATTCGCGTACAGTGAACTTGTGATTAAAATATCTTGTTGATTTCACAAAACCCTTTAGAAGAGGCCTCTACAAAAGGAAATTGGGCCGAACCCCGGAGTGCCACGTCCCGTCTGCTACAAACCTCAGCCGCCCCACATCCTAACGGCGGGAATAAGGCGCAGAGTCAGCGACGGTCGCACGGAACGGGCCGGATTCTCCCGCCCCTCCCGGGATCACACCTGCGGCCCCCGCACCAGCCGATTCCAAGCAGGGACCTTAGGCCCACAGGGGCGGCCCGGGGCTCCGCAGCCGCGCTCACGCGTTGGGGTTGTTTCTCATGAGCTCCACGTCGGCATCCACCATCTCCCTCACCAGCTCCTGGGACCCAAGACACAGGGGGTGGGCAGTGAGGGAGGAGTTTCTGCCACACTCCCCTGGTGACACCCCCACCCCCTGTGGCGCGTCAGGAGCGGCCTCCGCAACCCTCCCTCCACCCTACCTGCCTCCACCCAGTCCCCTCCTCGCCCTGTAGGCCTGGGGCACCTTGGGCGCCCTGCAGGGCCCGAGCGCTGCCGCTCGGGGCGCCACGCCGCCGAGCCAGGCCCGCCACCCCTCCCGCTGGGCCCGGCTCAGACCAGCCCCGCAGCAATCCGGCCAGCGGATTCCACCGTAAAAAAAAAAAAAAAAAAAAAAAAGCACTTACATCAAAAGCGACCCGGGGTTTCCAGCTCAGCTTCTGTTTCGCCTTGGTGCAATCTCCTTGCAGAAAGTCCTGCGGGGGGAGGGAAAGATAAAGCAGACGTGGGTCGGGGGCAGGGGCGGCGTCCGGAGCCGCGGGACCCCCACCTTCCCGCTGTGGTCGGAAGGCGAGCTCAGGATGCATAAGGCTCCACGTTTCCCTCCTTTTGGTCCACGTCAGACACGCTCAGTCGCTGCTCCCGGAGCTGTAAATCTTGCGAAGGTCGCGTTTAAGAATGCGCTGCACAGACCAGTGCGGACCGTGACAGCGGTGCTGTCCCCAGCTCACCCGGCCACCTCCTCCTGGCCACCCCTCCCCTCCACCGCGTCCTATTGACGCTTAATGACTTTAAAAACACACACACACACAGAACAACATTAAGTTGTCAGGGACGCTACTGTGAGAACTGTTTCGAATTACCGCACTTCTCAGGCAAGGGGAGTAAACGAGCAGACGCCTCCTCCCCGCCCCTACGCGGCGCGCAGCGGCCGCTTCCCTCCCCTCAGCAGGGCGACGGCCGTGCGCCCTCCGCCGGCGCGCCCCGACTCTCCCCGGAGGCTCCGCGACTCCGGGGCGCCAGGCCCGCAGCGTGCAGGCGCGCGGCGTTGGGGGACCCGAGTCTATGATGCGGGGGCTGGGTAATCCCGGGCCCGCAGAGGTGTTCTTCCCGGGCGGTGGCCTCGAGCATTCCCGACCCACGGCAAAGACGGGCGGCTCACTGCCATCCAGCACACCCGCGTGCACATAAAACGAAACTGAAGTTTCACGTAGCAATCTTCGCCCTTACTGTTCAGGGGGCACTACATACAGTATTTTCTATTCCGTTCTGTTCTATCCCATTCCTTAGAAAATAATGATCTCAAGCCACTTACTTCACCTTAGGACCCACCAATACGTTGCAACCAGCTGTCTGAAACTACAGCTCCGAAGAGCCAGCACTCTGCAGCTTCTTCGGCTCCGCCGCGCTCCTTCCTTTACCCAGTGTTCCCTAACTGCTCTGATGGAAGATCAAGTTGACTTTTAAACGAACCTCCAGCTCCTGTACAGGAAGCTGTCATTTGCTTGATCCTTGCATTTCTCATCCCATCTGACAGGGCCTTATCAAAATATCAAAATATATATATATAAGACGCCAGTGACTCAGGTAGAGTCGGCCCTGCTCAGCTTTACCAGCTCAGGCATGGATCTGTTTCAGGAGAGTTTCCATCCACTTAAGAGACTTCCTTAGTAGGAAACTGTCTAAGAGAAAACTATAGAAGGATATAGAAATCCTGTAGCTCACCCCTCACTCACCCATTTCTTATTTCAGATTTCTGAAGGCTGATTTAGGAGAAAATTGAGATGAAAATTTCAAGAGGATCTGAAAAAAGAAAGGGAAGGAGGGAAGGAGGGTGGAAGATAAGGAGGAAGGAAAAAAGAAAGGAAGAAAAAGGAAAGAAATGTACTTTAAAAAAGACCATTTTGGGGGGTGAGATAAACATTCAGCTTTGCCATGTACGAATGTATTCATCAAACAGTACACAAGATGAGTCCTTAAGATAGAAGAATGTGAGGGCAGTATGACAGCTGAACTTTAAACAGGATACATATCCCATTGAGAAACTATTTTAGTTATATACAATATTAAAGAACAGCCTAAAACTGGTTACATCAAGTGAAAGTAACAAATAATGAAACTGCAGCTTGAAAGCCTGCCCCACTGATTTTCTTCAGATTCCCTGCAAGGTAGCAGGCGTAGGGGGTTTGTTAGAGATTCATGATGCGAAAGGCCACAGAAGGCTGGCAGAACTGGTGCCCACCTTCACTAAGACTTCCATACCAAAGGGTGTCTGGATGCTACTTCTGAATGAGCATACAGTAGTCCTACCGTATCCTCAATGTCACTTTCCATGGTTTCAGTTACCTGCCTTCAACTGAATCTGGAGCAGGCAAACAGTCATAAGGTCAGCAGTAGTCTACCCCTATACCTACTTCATGCACCTCACTGCCTCTCATCACTAGGCATGTTATCATCTCACATCATCACAAGAAGAAGGGTAGGTACAGTATGGTAAGATATTTCTAGAGAGGAACACCACATTCACATAACTTTTATTACAGTATATTGTTATAATTGTTCTATTTTCTTATTAGTTATTGTTGTTTATCCCTTAGAGTGCCTGATTTATAAATTAAACTTTATCAAAAGTGTGTATGTATAGGAAGAAACATAGTATACATAGGGTTCAGTACTATTGACAGTTCCAAGCATCCACTGGAGGTGGGGCTTGGAATGGACCCACCTCGAATAAGAGGGGGCAATGTCCTGTACTGTATGCTTGAAATTGTTCTCTAACAGCATGCATTCAACAACGCTCATTCTCCATCATCCATCATTACTTTTTAAGATTTACTAAATCAAACTCCCAAAGGCTTTTGCATTTCACAATACACTAGAGTATTGATTTCCTCTCCAGAGTGTTAAATAATAGTAAAGCAAGTTATTTCTGCTGGTCCTAACAGTCCATATACAGATTCTTCAGGAAAAATAGGATACAAAAATTAATAACTAGCAATTTAACACTTCATGGAGTGCTGGAAATGTAAGTGGAAAAACAAACTAATTCATTTTTGTTTCCTTTTCCTAAATAAACTTGTATATATATCCACAATAATTCTCTATTTTACTATAAAAGTCACACAAAGATATTCATTCTTTTTCCCCAGAGAGCTGTGAAATGTGGCGTCATGAAGCAACGCAGCCTCCCTCAATTCTATAGCAGTTACACAGCTTGAAGAAACATGGTTATTGTTTAATCACATAACACTTGCTGTAAATCAACCAGCATTGCATAGGATGCAATTCATGGCTCTGAACTTATAGTTAGCAAAACCCTAAAACCCAGTTTGGCTTCAAATGATCTCGGTAGGCTTGGGAAAGAAAGCTTTGTATTGTAATTATGTTTCCTGTATTTTTCTACAAGTAGCTCATAATATAAAAACAACTAGGGAACTACAATTAAGGAAAAAGAAAAATGGTTTTCAAAAGCTTAGAAACAGACATTTGCTACCATACACTGTAAAAGTATTTCATTGAAACCAGAGACGCACCCAGTTAAACTTCCCAATTTAGTTTTGAGCCCAGCTCCTACATTCCAGTCTAGCAGCTTACTTTAACCTTCTGCCAAGGCTCTGTCTCCCTGAAATTTAATTAGACCAAGAGACCTAGTGAAGGAAAAGGATGAGGTTCCATCAAAACAAAGCAGCAGCTCTCTATGCCAGCTGCTACTGAGCTAACATCTAGACTAGTCCGTGTGCTTCTGCCCTTGTCAGCTCTCAGGGAAAGAGTAGGGACATCCCAGCTTGTTCACCTCTTCTGAAGGATTTTCTTATCTTCTTTCTGTTGGGTCCCTTTAGGGAAAATATACAGTAAATGGTTTAGGCTGCAGGGTTTGGGGCATAAAGTGGACTTAAAGGGTAGAGTGGGGAAAGTGTGGCCCAGGAGTACAGGTGGCGCTGGAATGACAGCAAGGACATGGAAATTCTTTAAATAAGGCTTCCATCATCCCAAAGAGAATGGGATTGGGGAAGCTGGACTCTTACAAGGACGTCAGGAACAAACTATTCTTCTCTCAGGACTATGTGGAGCAATGGAGGGGAGGAGAAGGGAGGCAGATAAGGTCACACTGTAGTTTCCCTTTACATTTGACAAATCTTCTCCTCTAGGGCGTGATCAGCTCTTAAGGAGGAGAGAGAAGAATGATTCATCTGTTTTGTCCTTTTCTTCGTTTTTGATAGTTCAGTTCCTTCTTTATTTATAGGCTTAAAGTCATACTATGACAACAGGGGCAAGAGTTGATTAAAGAGAAGATTTTATGTACACTTTCCAAAACGGACTTTGTACACTGGGTGGTCTGGAGCTTTTCTTAAAAAAAAAAAAAAAAAAAAAAAAGAAGAGACAATAAAGCTCTGGGAAAAATTTAAAGCATTTCTATGTGAATATGACATTTCCTGAGAAGAATGATTCATCTGTTTTGTCCTTTTCTTCGTTTTTGATAGTTCAGTTCCTTCTTTATTTATAGGCTTAAAGTCATACTATGACAACAGGGGCAAGAGTTGATTAAAGAGAAGATTTTATGTACACTTTCCAAAACGGACTTTGTACACTGGGTGGTCTGGAGCTTTTCTTAAAAAAAAAAAAAAAAAAAAAAAAAGAAGAGACAATAAAGCTCTGGGAAAAATTTAAAGCATTTCTATGTGAATATGACATTTCCTGAACTTTGGCTTCTGGTGTCTTCACTGTTTCCATTGCTATTCCTTAGGTGAGCTATACAGTTTCAACATGTGATTTATTATTGTCAAATTCAATCAGGTTTAGCCGAGCATTTTACAGCAGCAAAACAGCATGCACAAAGAGAAAACGTGCATGTCCAGATACCCAGAGCCCCCTTAATTTTTCTCAGACTCCCTGCCTACCGTTGACTGGTCGGATCTGTAGGAGCTGTCCTCTGACGGCTCTGTCTAGGCATAAACCCTACAGGCCCAATGCCAATGGCCAGAGTTGCAAACAGCAGCAGGGTAGAAGGGCATGTTTTGCTGCAGCAATTTTTCAGGCTTTCCTGGCTTATGTTCTTGTTATAGTGAACTGATAAAGGGCCAGACCAAATCCTGGAAAAGTCATTAAGCCAGTTCCTGAGCCCACAGTAGTTAACATAAAATCCAGAAAAGGAGAGACCATGTTGTGCCATTATCTTCTACTCTAACTATAGTTCTCTTTCTTCAAATCTCCTGGGTGCCTTTTTATCTCAATCAAGATAACAACACATCTTTAAATCACACGGGTTAGTTTTCTTTCCTCCCTGCCCCCAATCTTTTTAAAAATTTTTATCATTATTTAACACATTAAATGCCTTTAATACTCACCCCCTTTCCTGAAAATCACTGTGGGGAATGCTATTAAATAGACTGGCAACATAGGATAACTTCTCAAAGTTCACAGTGTCATTTTCTTTGTCTCCGTTTTTCACTGTGGTTGTGTTGGGGAAATTTAAATA